GTTTCGAATCCCTTCCGAATTTGACACCCTCAGCCCGACGGGCTGTCATTTCTGTACTAAACGCGGGTCGGGATTTTTCACTCTTTTGGTGGAAAGGGGTGCCGCTCCGGTCAGGCGAAAAGGCCACATAACCATCCGCGCGGACTAATACCAGGAAGTCTTCGCTGCACCACCAACATTACGCCACCTATAAAGGATACAACTAACAGGCTTTTTAGAAAATACAAATATATGTACACAGATATTACGATATCGGGGATATCGCGGCCAAAACATACCAAACAAAGTCACGTTTCCGGCTATTTACTGCGCACTTACTTAGACTCTGGTCAGATTTAAAAGGTGGTTTTGAAAAAAAAAAGAATCTCAGACTTCTAAATTATCATTATCATTTTTTCTTCAGGTCTTTCAAACATTTGTACCGACATTTTATGAGCTCTTTGTAGCCCCCCCTCGGGAATACTTGACTGAAATGTATCCGTTTTTCCTTGGGGGTTACTTCAGATCATTATACTAGATTAGTCCTAAGGTTTTAATTATTAGAATGTTAGAGCATAGAGCAGTACTTTTTCAGATGTACTTCATGTTACATGTATCAAATTATAATTTGTCTGTCTTTGACCACTCCCCATAGAACTGAAAAGAAAGAGTCCAGCTGTGAACCTCCTACTGGAGACCCATGTGTTGGACATCCTGGGAACGAGATGGACTGTGATAAGAACCCTGGGAAGGAGATGGCGTTTACTGAACACCCTGGGAAGGAGATGGGACATCCTGGGAAGGAGATGGACTGTACTGAAAAACCTGGGAAGGATATGGACTGCACTGAACACCCTGGGAAAGAGACAACAGACATGGGCCCGCAGCAGAAAACGTGTGATGTGAACTTTCCCCGGCCTGTCAACAAGTCAACCTCACAGGTACAGGAGAGCAAAGGTATGGGAAGGCACGTGGTTAAACACACTGGTGACAAACCCTACATGTGTGGGGAGTGTGGGTACAGGACAACTCGCAAGTCTGACTTAAATCGACACATGAGAACCCATACAGGAGAAAAACCCTACAAGTGTGACCAGTGTAGCTATTCTGCAGCACAGAAAATCAGTTTGGACCAACATCTAGTAGCAAAACACACTGGTGAGAAACCCTACATGTGTGGGGAGTGTGGATACAGGACAGCTTACAGGTCTCACCTATCCGTACATATGAGAACCCATACAGGAGTAAAACCCTACAAGTGTGACCAGTGAAGCTATTCTGCAGCACGGAAAAGTAATTTGAACGATCATCTATCAATACACATCGGTGACAAACCCTACATGTGTGGGGAGTGTGAATTCAGGACAGCTGCAAGGACCGGCATATCCCAACACATGAGAACGCATACAGGAGAAAAACCCTACAAGTGTGACCAGTGTGACTATTCTGCAGCACGTAAGTCTGCTTTGAAAGCACATCTAATGACACATACAGGAGAAAAACCCTACAAGTGTGACCAGTGTGACTATTCTGTAGCCTCCAGGACTGCTCTATCTCGACATATTGGAATTCATGCGGATTTGACTACTGAACATCCTGGGAAGATGAGCCATCCTGGGAAGGAGATGGGTTATCCTGGGAAGGGGATGGGTTATCCTGGGAAGGAGATGGGCTGTACTGAACAACCTGGGAAGGAGATGGCTTGTACTGAACACCCTGGGAAGGAGAGTGACAGCAGGGAGACCCAGACAACAGACATGGGTCCGCAGCAGAAAACGTGTGATGTGAACTTTCCCCGACCTGTCAACAAGTCAACCTCACAGGTACAGGAGAGCAAAGGTGATATGGGAAGGCACGTGGTTAAACACACTGGTGAGAAACCCTACATGTGTGAGGAGTGTGGGTACAGGACAGCTTACAGGCGTAGCCTATCCCTACATATGAGAACCCATACAGGATAAAGACCCTACAAGTGTGACCAGTGTGACTATTCTGCAGCACGGAAAAGTAATTTGGACGTTCATCTATCAATACACACCGGTGACAAACCCTACATGTGTGGGGAGTGTGGATTCAGGACAGCTGCAAGGACCGGCATATCCCAACACATGAAAATCCATACAGGACTAAAACCTTACAAATGTGGGGAGTGTGACTAATCTACTTCATGTAAGTCTGCTTTGAAAGCACATCTAATGACACATACAGGAGAAAACCCCTACAAGTGTGACCAGTGTGACTATTCTGTAGCCCCCAGGGCTGCCCTATCCCGACATATCGGAATTCACGCGGAGGCAAAACAAGGCAAAAAAAAAAAAAAGAAATTTGACCCAATTCTAGCACGTACGAAGCGCTACTCCAACAGCCCCTAGATGAATACAGCCAGGACTGCCCAACTAGCCGGAGGCTATTATAAAGGGCTAGCCCTCACAACAAGAACATAAACAATTCGGAACAGGTAACAGCTAACAGTGTCAGTTACACTTAAGATAAACATACTATTACATAACAGATGTTGCGGCCTAACGTTAACAAGCTATGAGATCCGGCCTAGTCGTCATGCGTTTACTACAATTACATTGTGTACTATATTTACATGTCAGGTTAACATACTATTACATAACAGATGCTGCAGTCTAAGGGTTAACAGGTTATGAAATCTGGCCTAGACGTCATGCATTTACTATAATTACGTTGTGCACTATATTTACATTGTCAATACAATTCTATTGAACTCGTACAGTTTTACTAAGTGGTTGTCGTCAAGTATTTATCAAGTATTGTCCATAGTTTGTTTTTAAAGGAGCTGATGGAGCGGGTTGTTCGAGTTTCGCTAGGGAGAGTATTCCAGATGGTTATAGCTCTGATCACAAATGTTCTCTGGGACCTGGTGGTTCTACAAACGGGAATGGATAAGTGTTCACTATTCCGTAAGGGATACCGGGATTCTGTGGCGGACGCTGGCGCTCGAGGTAGCAGACTTTGCAGGTGTGGAGGACAGCGACCGTTCAACAGTTTGTACATGGTTACTGCAGTGTGAAACTTGCGTCGAAACTGGAGGGATGGTACCGGTAGAGACAGTTCTGTGTAGAGACTATTGTAGGAAAGGTATGGGAGCCCAAAGTGACCACTGATAAAACTGGCTGTTTGGTACTGAATAGATCCTAATGTCCTTTGGTCACGTAAAGTGAGGCCAGCCCAGACAATATCCGCGTACTCAAGATCTAACGTAGGTCTTGTAATGGTGATGTACAGCCGGAACAGTAGGTTAATATCGATTATATTGTACTTCAAGATTACAATTCACTGCCATACATGGTTTGTTCAACATATTTACTATTAAAGTGAACCTGCGGGAGCCCAATTCTGAGTTTGTAACAAAGGCAATAAAGACATGGACAGGTCTAGTTTGACTACCCTCTTTCACCGAGCATTTGTGCTGTAGTGATTTCCGCGTTTAGACATTGCGTACATGACTAACCCTTACTAAAATATCCATCACAAAAAGTAAACTTCCCAATTGATACGCTGCAGTTGATCTATTTCTCGACAGATGGCGCTTTGAGGTGTTCATTCAAGCACCTTAATGTCACACGTCACGTCAGATGCAGACAACCAAGACGCCCATATACGTCATGCGTTCAAGTTTGTCACAACTCGTTGCGCAACAGCCACACAGAGCTCGGCTCTGAGAGGCACAACTACAACAAGACAACTGAGGGCTGTTCTTCGTGCCTTCATGAAACCTTCACCACCATCATCCTTTAGTAACAATGCTGGAGCCGTAGACTTCTTCTGTATCTGTATCTGTATAGCCGGTATGACCGCCCTTCGGCGTAACACACCAGTTTCTGTATCTGTATAGCCGGTATGACCGCCCTTCGGCGTAACACACCAGCTTCTGTATCTGTATAGCCGGTATAACCGCCCTTCAGCATAACACACCAGCTTCTGTATCTGTATGACCGCCCTTCGGCGTAACACACCAGCTGTAGTTCCTTTGAACTTTTATTCAGCCCGTCTTTTCACCAACAAAATGTAGTTAGTTGTAAATACTTCTAAGCCCACACTAATTTGATTCTTGTTGGTCCTCGGATTTTTTTAAGATGAAAAAAAGAAAGCGACATTCAAAGTCAAGTCAAATACATCCTCTGATAGCCCCAAAAGGTACGGAGGTCAACATATCAGGCTGTTTTTTTTGTTTACTTGCTAATTATTCAAGGAATGAATTTCAACCTTTTCATCAATATCAATGCATTAAAAGATGGATAAACTGTAACAACCAGGAAGGCAAGGAGCTTTCTTCAACTAGTTGAACTAGTTTTTTTTTCTTTTGCAAACCAGAAGAAGACGCGGGCAAATCTGAGAACCAGTTGAATAAATTGGTGTGGCCTAAATCTCGTAAAAGTTTGAGACAAGAAATATTGTAGATGCCATGTCCTTAGTAAAATTTTTGATACAGCAAGTTCTTCCATGACAAAATTATACATACGACAAAATTATACATTTGCTTAGAACTATGAAGCTTCAAAGCAACCATTTGACAGAAGTGTTGTTCCCGAACAGTGAACATTCATGAACAAAAAATCAAAACTCCATCTGATTTCCTTTACAGATCTTGAAATCACAAAATATTGAAGTTCAACCATTGTTGTTGTCTTGTAACTAAATAACTGATAATTCTTGCTATTTACAAATGTTTTAAACATATTTACAGATAAACTGTAACACATAACACACTGTGACATGATACACTAAGAGAAATTATTTGAAATGTCCTGGCAGCAAATTACCTGACAGTGTACCTATCAAAGCCATATTAAATACAGTGTAGATTATACATGTATAATAATAGTGAAATAGTCTAAATTGGCAAAAAAAATTACTCAGTTACTGGTGTGATAACATTTTGCCATCATTCCTGAGACGGCCAAGCCAGGTTTCTATCATTTTTTTTCCTTCCACAAGAAGGCAAACTGTTTATTCAGATGTTAACCAGTTTTTACAGTGCATTTTGTACTTTACACGGCGCAGTCTCCACATTTCCATGTGCCATCACTGGGAGGGCAGACAGGCAGGCAGCTGACGTGAAAGATCCTCTGACATGCCCTGCACGCCTCAATCCTTCCCAGACCCTCCTCCTGCTTGCAGCAGCAAACCAGCGAGATTCTGCTGACCCTGGTTAGACCGACTTTCTTCCTCCGGTTGGTCAGATGAGGAAATGGTGTAAGCCTCCCTTGTTTGAAGCAGTTCTCCAAATGGCTCCTCATCTCCCTGTCGTCATACGCAATGCTGCTCACGTCTTGTCCCTGTGCGATGTCCACTGCCCAGGCGATGGCAAACAGCCCACAATCAAAGACATTCTTCTGACGCTGTACCTCTGGTAGGATGATGGTCAGGATGTTCCTCTCTTGGTCGGCAAACGCGGCGTAGGTCTGGTAAAGCTGGACTTGCAGAGATGCGGTCATGTCGGCGCCAATGCTGTCATACAGGCGCACCTGTCCGCCTGCGTAAGACGACAGAACCCAGTGCGCTCTTCTGTTGTGGTGGATTTATAGCCCCTTTCCTGTCATCTTGGCAAACCCGTCCTCGCAGAGACCAACTGTAGGGGCTTCCAGGCCTTGGAGTGCCGGGTACTGGTGGTGGAGCAGCCTCTGGGCAGCCTGGATGAGGTCGTCTGTCAGCATCTCGTTGTTTGTCAGAACCGCCTTGTCACCAGCGCTCAAGTTGACACTTGGCCTCCCCACTTCACACTCCTTATAGTAATAATACTTATAGTGAAAAACACGATTCAGATTCAGATCAATTTGGGCTCTCTTGGCCGACTTCTTGCCACTTGTTTGGTGGCTTTCCTGGGTGTCCTCTTTTGATGGAGACCCGGATGCCACCACCACCGGCGCCTTGCTGTCGGAGCAGCTCGCTTGCCTGCTGCCATCTGCGCGGCTGTTTGGGGATACAGGACGGACCGCGATGATGCGGCAGCCTCCTTTGGGGACATGAAGTTCAACTGATGTAGCATCGGCGACATCTTTGACAGTCGGAATAAACTCAGGCTCTGCGGGGAGGTCTGCGTCCTTCATCCTGTGAGGATAGAGGTGTTTGAGTGAGTTTCTAAAAATCTTGTATGTTTATCTTTAACAAATCAAGGCTATTTTAGACACTGTGCTCAAAACCATTTTTGTGTAAAATGTGTACTAACTCGAGGTTGAAGAGGAACTGCCTCTGCAGCCACAGTTTCTTCACTTTAATCTCCACCTCGACCAGGCTGTCATGAAGAGTGTCCAAGGAGTTGTTTTCTATACCAATGTAAATGGTTCAATCAGTGTTCTTTAATCACACATGAAATAAATTATTTACGGTAATAACAAAGCTTGATACATGTTCATATTAAGAAACATGCAGAGAAGGCCAGCTACTTTTTCCAGGGCCTCCCTGTAACTGAGATTATGATAATTACTAATCATGATAACATACTTTGAGCAGCAGACAATAAAACAATAATTTGATATTTGCTATTTGATAACATATGCAGCAAATTATTATATATTAGCTTACACCAGATATGAATGAAGAGAAACCAACTGTTTTGAGTAAACAAAGTAAAACTTAGTGGGGGAGAAGAAACAAAGGGATTCCGGGAGGGTGGTTCTGTAGCATTATAACTGGAGTGATGTCTGATGAAGCAAAGATCCTGGGTTCAAGTTCATAATTTGCCAACTAGTGTAGGGACCAAGCAAGTCACTTTCCAACAAAATTGAGACCCAAAAAATGATAGACTTTCTCGGTTGGTTCAACCGAGGACTACGCTACCTGCGACTGGCACCTTCCAAAAGCCGAAGAAGGCCGTGAAGCGTTCCCACAACCCCTGGATGAAGTACTGGTCCTCCTCAGACATGATGTGGTTCCGCACATCGGGAAGGCGGCTGTCGATGATCGCCCTGGCGATGTTCATCAGCACCAGGAAGATTATGCAAGTGTAAGTGATGAAGTAGATGGGGCCGAGGATGGGGGCTGCCTCCCAAAGCTGGTAGTAGTAGAAGTTCCCAAGAGACATCTGGAACAGGGTAGAGAAGGACTTGCTGATGGTGCTGAAAAAAATCAAATCATTGTTACAGTCATGATAACCTAACCTGCATCATCAAATTTCAAGTCACAAGGTTTGTATCCCTACTGCAGTACTAAAACCAAGTTGAAAAAGGGGTATTAGTTTTTTAACTAAAAGTTTGTATTTGATACAAATAGGATCTATGTTTCTTTACCTGTACTCCTCCACAATAAGGCCGAACTTGAGATAACCGTAGACGCCGAATGCTGACATGCCGAGGAAGAGGTAGACGGTGAAGGAAGAGAACTCCACCGACATCCCTCGGATCATGGACATCAGCTTGGCGAGGAATGGGTTAAACCTCAGCAGCCGGAGGAACTTCATCATGTTGACAAACGTCAGGAAGGCCAGGAACCAGCCGTAAACCAGGCTCACGTTCACCGCAGATCGGAAATGGTGGACTTCATCTTTAAAAGAAGAGCCATTTGTTGAAAAAAAAAAAAAAAAGAAGAGCGTTGCATATAGTTAGAACAGTGTAAAATGATAATACCTTGCTGTGAAATTTTTATATGATATGAATGATTTATGCAACATTTTTGCGTAAATCTGAAACACACCTTTCCCAGCATTGATCGCTGCCAGAGCCATGGAGCTGTAGGTTCTCTTGAAGCCGTACAAGGCGATGACAGTAAATGCTAAGAAGAAATTGAAGATTTCCAAAACCTTCCATGGCTCCCTCAGGTAGGCCAAGCCGGCTGCACGGGCAGTTTTCATCTCTTTCCACAGTGTGTAGAGAAGAACGATGACGTAAGTGATTTCCAGCAGGACGTAGATGTACCCGATCGTCACCAGCCGTTGATGAAGTCGGAAGGCCTGCATGCGATGATGGGTGAAAACTCCGGCCGTCTCGGAGAATTCAAACACCATCGTCAGCGATGTGAACAGATCCAGGTTCCCGTCGTAGAGCAACGCTTCTAAGAAGATGGCCCTCGTCCGCTTGTCGATCCAACGGTTGGCCTTCAGCTCTGCCAGGATGCTTCGCATCTCGTCTGCAGATTTTCCCAGGTTCAGCCCGAAGCCGTCTCCCCAGTACTGCGTTGTCACACCGTAGATGGGGAGACTGGTGTATCCACTGTGGAGGTAGGTCCATCCAGGGGCTTCTGACTCCATCGCTGACATATTCATGACCCTTTCCCAACCCTTTCGAAAACGCCCCGGTCTCCTTGGTGTGTTCATTGTACCCTGATGAACATTCGTCAAACGACTGCTGCATTGCTGCTGGCACTGTACACAGCCCTGGGATGGCAGGAGATGGAAAGGACAAAAAGTACTAGTAAGTCACAAATCAGAGGTTAACAGTTTTGTTATTTTGGCATCCTCTTAATTTTTGGTAGGTGTCTTTGAAATATTTTTGATGAATAAGAAGATCATAATAATCCTTTGAATTTGTCAAATGTAACTTTTTACTACTCACGTTTCCTCTGGTATGTGGTAAATACACACATCTGTGGTAATGTTAGCCTGAGCCCACAGCAAATGTTCTATGTGCAAAGTGGTTCCACCCACCTTGCTTTACTCGGGCTTGGATCATGCTAGGCGGGGCGACCAGGACCGACTGCATGTCTGCTGTGAAGGCCTTATCCTGCCAGCGAAGCTTGTTGTTATTGTAGGAAGTCTCCGGGTAGAAGTTCTCCATAGCGGTCCCGTTCAGCCAGGACCAGAAGGTATCAGCATCATTTACCTGTGGATAAAAGAAAACTGGTAATTCTACTGAACAAAGAAATATTGTTGTAAATTGTTTGTTTGTTTATTTGATCGATCTCCATTAGTGCGTACAATCAATAATACAACACTAGTCTTATTGAGTCGTATTGAATACAAACACTGCATTATACTATACATACATACATATACAAGAAGCAAACGTAACTTAAATACAACATAGCAAATAAAATGCAACATAGCAATGAAATACGACACGGGAAATGAGGATACAACATAGGGTATAAAACTGCTGAGAGGTCAGGTTGTAAATTCCTCATTACAAAAATGGTGGACATTTGAATTATGTTCTGATTCTGTGCATTGTAGAAGATACAGTGGTTAAGAAAATTTTCATGACTTTTCATTGATTTTTAAGTGAAATCTGTCATTGTTCTTCAATTTTCTGGTACAAGATAGAAACATTGAATCAGATAAAATTTACTTCATTATATATACATACACATGTATAGTGTTTGGGAACAGTCATGGTTCAGAGGCATACTTTTGCAAGTTGACATATATTGTCTGAAATTATCCATTCATACCATATCTTCTCTGAAGTTCATTCAGTCTCATAGTTTTGCAAATTAGATCAACACAATTAATGTTGCTCCTTATTTCAACTGACAGCTATGTAATTATAGATGAATATTTCAAGTCATTCAAATTCCATGGTCTTTACTCTTTTTGTTCAAAACAATAATTTACAAGAACAACTTAATAATTTGAAAAGAATAATCTTGGGGAATAAGTAACTTATTTGTTATGTCAACATGACTAAAGGGTTTCCACTGGCTTGAAAGGATAATCTGACCGATGCAATGATTTAGTAATCGCAGACACCAATGTACAACGTAAGGCCCTGTAATGATTTTACCTCGTCCAAGGACTGCACAAAAGTGTTGGTTGCACTCTGTGTCTGATAGAAGGCCTGGGTGGTGCTGTGGTGTTCGTTGGTGATGCTGAGGACAAGCAGCACGTAAAAGCAAGACACCATGATGTCCCGAAGGATTTCGCCAAACCTCCTATCCCTGCGCTGCTTCTTCCTTTCTTGTTTGATGTTGATAAGGGACGTCATCGAAAGTTGCTCCATCTTTCTCCTTGTGCGAAATGCATCGCCTGTACAAAATGTAGTAAGCATGAAAAATAGTGAAGTCAGTATGGTCTGTATTTGTTGGAAAAGTGGAAACAACACCACAAATGGAAGCAAAAAGAAATGTCAGATCAATTGACAAAACAGGAGCCCACCCACAATGCAGAAAATGGCTTTCTTTCACAATTATAATAAAACAGAAATAAATAAAAAACATTCTGTATTATAGCTTTCAAATATTTCATCATCAGAGAATTATGGTATATAATAATCATTGTGTTTCTACAGATGTGACCGCTATTAACATTTATCTGCCAGCAGGTTACATATATCTGCCACTTTGAAAATGATCTCTATCTAGTATATAGCTACATGTATAGTGCCGCACCACCCAAGTATGCATGGTTTAGATGTACTTACATTATACGTGTAGTAGTATACAGGTCCTAGAGTGTATTAATATACTGGTGATGCTGTGTTTACATTTTTTCAGGGTGGTGGATATTTTGTGACCTGGTGGAATTAGGCGTAACTTAGTACTTGATGTTACAAACTTACAGTTAAAGCCTGACATAGCATTGGCTTCAATTAAAACGGGGCTCCGTTTCTCTTCAAAAATCGTCTTGACGGCTTGTGTCTTGCGAAGGGATGAAGTGAAGATGGCAAGAAGAAATATCTGTAAGATAAAAGACTTGGTTGTTAGGGTGTCTGAGCCATTAAGATGGTGATATCATCCTATATGATATGGCTTGTTTTCAGCATGTATTAAGTAAGTCAAGATTTGAATTCAAGCTAAAGAAAACAAATGTTCGTCTTGGTAACAAAATAGCTCATACAACTATATTGTGCTTGAATGCTATCGGCAGGTGGCACTTCAATGTGTTTACCATGATAGACTATTCTCAGTAAATACATTAAACATGGCAACTACAACAAAAATGTAATCATGAAATTGATATCCTAGCTTGATTGGTGCTGACAGGTGGCATTTTTAGGTGTTAACAATAAAAGTAATTTAAATATCACACCTGAAACAAACATAATAATGACGACATTGTTAAGCTATAATCACCTATTAGTAGATAATGTCCTTACCTTCCCTGGTTCCATAAGGAAGACGTCTGCCAGAAAGGTGATGAGGAACGCAGACAGCCACTTGTTGGTCTTGTCCCTGCCCCACTGCATGCTGAACAGCGTGGTGAAGACAGCTGACCCAAGGAAAGACAGCATCGCCAGCACCCAGGCCACGTACCTGCACCCGTGTGGCAGGCGCTTGGCTGGACCCCTCTGGGTGGATGCCTCAGGTGGGCCGCCCGTCTCCACGTCTCGGACCCGGCGGTCGCCCTTGCTGCTCGGCCGGCTGTACTGGAACAGCAGCACTATGGCTGTGATAACGGGAAGGCAGGTGATGCTGGCCATGAACCCCGTGTAGACTCCGTTCAAGGTGAAGGAGAATGGCCCCAGGCTGAAGACCCGCACGATCTCGGTTTCTACTTCATCCCTCAGCCACATGGCGCTGGACACCATGGACGTAGCGAAGAAACTCAGGCAGCAGCCAAGCCTCTCGATGCGGGTGAACGTGCTACCTGTAGAGGAAACACAATGTTGGTATTAATGATAAAGAATGAAAGCAACACCGGCTCCAGATGAAACATTATTTAAAAAAATAGAAAAAAGAGTAGGTAAATTTTAGACATACACATCTATAGACTACCTCAGGTCAGCCAAGATAAAGTTGAAAAAGCAAAACTGATGATACCTTCAGGCCTGAATGCGACGGACAGAACTAGGTGTTCCTCTGCCAGGTTATGGCGCACACTTGCCGGGAACAGGAACCCGAAGGATCGCAGGTCCTCCTCAGAGGCGACAGGAAAGGTCTTCACGACCTGCCCGTCCCCGCGGTCGGCTGCCAGCCACTCGTCGCAGAAGAAATAGAACCTACAGTTCCAATGAAAGAAAAAAGAAATATCACTCTGTTAACTGCCAGGGTCACCTGGCTGGTTTGAATGAAAACCATATTATAAAGTAAGTAACTGTTTGGTTTTGAGGTTCATAAAACAGAAACACACCTCATATATTGAGATGTATCGACATCAGGTCTTATCGAACACATTTATTTTGTTGTTTGTTACTTTCTTTATGTAGTTTGCCATACATTGTACCATGTGCAATTGTTGTGCAATAAAGTTCTTCTATATCTTGCAAAAGTGTTAATATAGGTTGAATAGTTGTCAACAGCTTCCTTCCGCTACATTGCAAATCAAGACATTCAAATGTTAGGTTTTAAACATTTTATATATTAAGTAGATCTACAGTACTGTTGTTCCTTTGCATCACTTTAAACACCACTCATCAGCAATGGGATAAACATGTTTCACACAACATTCAAACTGTTCCAAAATCTCATTCAAATTTCAATTTGAAAAATGCAGCACAAATAAACCTACGTTTCTCAGTAACAAGGAAACAAGAAGTTCATAGTAAAGAGACCTAAGAGACATGTATTGTTTATTGCACACAGCAATTTTAGCTTCTTCTGCACCTGGAAGTGGGTCAGGTAAAATCTTTATTGAACAACCCTCCCATGACTATGATTGGATGAAAGTAGACAGCGCTTGGCTGGACTCACAATTTGCCCGTGGTGAGATCCTGCACGGCTGCTCGGTCCACGTGCCACGATGCGCGGCTCCCCTCCCCACTGTTGTCGTGCATGAGCTGCAGCAGCTCCACCTTACCCAGCTGTTCTGCTGTGCTGAAGGTCAGGGTCACCTGGCTGGTTTGGGTGAAAACCTGAACAGCAACAGAAATTCCACCTGTTAGGACATGCTGCGAGTTAAAACATCTGCAGAGGAAAGTTGGTTGATGACAATAGGAGGGGTCAGTGCCAAATTTGATGGCCTAACCTTCTCTGTGAGGTCGACCAGTCTCACATCAGTGTTTGCTGCATCTCCGAACAGCTTGAAGGCAACGGTAGACTCTGTCCCAGCATGCTTAGCTCCACCTGTCCAGATGAGGAGGCGGTACCGGAAGTTGTCTTGAAGATTGTCCAACCTTACAGTTCTATTTAACTGTAGCAATGTACGAAGAGAAAGAACATAAATGTTCACATACGTGTACATACTGACCTTGACCTCTCACAGTAGATTGACTGAAGAATAAAAAAACTACCTTTACGGTAGGTAATACAGATACATTGCAAGTATGCTAGCTATTTAGACTTTTTAGATTTTATTTATATGTACATACAGGGCAGGGTTGAGAGCCTTTGAGATCGTAAGTGGCTTGTTGGAAAGGCCTGGATTTCACTACCAAACTAATGATAGATATTGCTGATTGAGAAAAAAGTACCAGAAAATCCATTAGAAATAACAGGTCCACAGAGCAAAGACTTGACATTACACATGCCACTTCTGTTGGCCTGACATGGGTGACTGGTGACGCCCACTTACCTTCCCTTTTCCTTTACGCTCAGCAATCTTGATCGCGACTGATGTGAGCGAGAAGAGACAGAGCCCCGCAATGATGGTCGCCACGACGGCACCGTTGTCTGCAAGATCCCTGAAGTTCAACGCCTCGAACACGATGGTGTTCGGCGGTGTGGCGAAGTCACTCCCGAAGGCTGTCAGGTGGTTGCAGTGACAAATAGTGCTGGTAATGGTGGACTGATTGCTTATCTGTAGAAAGCAGTAAAGAGACATGTTGTTAAGATCACATTAATTCCAAACATGGGTCCTTTGACATAATTTGGAAAACCTATTTTCTAAATCATGCAGTCATCATTTATCTATTATTTACCATCTTTAGAATATGATATTATGATCATGAAAGTTGTGGAATAAAGATAACTAATTTTTATTGATGTATGTCCATATTTTCCTAACATTTTTATTTTTTCTACATCACTGAAGCAAGGAATGGTCAACAGCCTCAATTGCTTACTAAATAGTAAAAGTTAACAGTATATTAAACTCTTGTAATATCTTGTTATAATCAGATGGGGTTAGTCATGGATTCAGTATATCTTCTCTAATAACAAAACAATTTTTATGCATTTACTTATTGCTGCATTGTGATCAAGTGAGAGGTCACATATAAATATATTTTATAATATTATCGTAATCAAATCCTCTAGTAATGAAGTATTTAATAGCATAATACATGCATGTATTATTCTAACAATCGTGAAGACTAAGAATGAAGTCGTCCCAAAAACAAGGAGAGCCTGTACCCACCGAGCAGCCGTCCGTTCTCCAGGCTTCCTGCGTCTCGCTCCAGAAGACACAGCCCAAACGGGCCCATTCTATCTTGTAGGCGTAGAAGTCAGCGGCGTGTGGCTCCTTCACGTCGGTTCTTTTCTCACTGCCACACTCCGTCACTGGTCCTGAAAAAAGGGACATTTAAAACAGACCTGAGAAGTGAAAAAATACAAATATTGCAACATATTGTTACAATGTACCTTGTAAAGTTAAACAATATAGTATTTTGTATTTTGCCAATGGAGATTTTAGATAAGATTCTAGATAAGCAAGCAAACATCACATTGCAAACTGGGTCATCAACATAAGGCAACTTTCTATGTTACATTTAATTTAAATATCACACTGTAGATTGAAACATACCAACATTCAAAACCTCTTCAAATATTCATTAGATATTATAATTTTCCTTAAAAAACAGATATCACCAAACCAAGTGTGATCATTATGAACAAGACAATCCCACTTTATCTGGCACATTCACCTTCTAGTTCTGTCAAGCATGTTTGTGTTTGAAAACTACTCACCAAGTATTTCAACCTTGATGTTGTAATCCACAGGACCATCCTCCCCCGAGACGAACATTCTTGCCTCTGTCTTCTCTGTGTCTTCCTCGCCACTCAGAGTTTTCATCAAGGCACAATACTCGGGTAGGATGTACGTCTCTGTGGACATGTTGTAGTTTTGGTCACCAGGGCGGCCGCCGTACCTGCCCGACACACGGTAAACCACGCTAGTGTTCAGCGGGGTGATTGTGACCAGGAAGCCTTCTGCGGCGTTGGTGAGGTTAAGCAAATGGTATCTGGAACTTCCGTTTCCTTGGGCAGGGATGGTGACGGTTGTTGTCGCTGGTTTGTTTCCGGATTTGGCCGGAATGGTGATGTTGAAGTCTTCAGTCAGGTTGTTGAAGGCCACGGGAAAGTTGTTCTGTTGGAGTGACAGTTCCATGACAGACGAACGTGGTTGGTACTCCCCACGCCCCCAGGTAAAAGGGTTCTGTTGAAACTGTGTCAACTGGAATACAGCAAAATTAATTTATCAATAACTCATGTTGTTTTGTAACATTCTGTCATAAACAAAATAGATAAATTTATGTACTAAAAAATGTATCACTCACTCACTCACTCTCACTCACTCACTCACTCACTCACTCACTCACTCACTCACTCACTCACTCACTCACTCACTCACTCACTCACTCACTCAGTCCTGTGAATAATTACAGTGAATGAAAAAAACATAAGACAGATGTAAGATAAATGTTTTAAACAATGATGAGAATTGAACTGTTCCATTCACATCATCACACATGAGAGGAACGACAAGGATCATTGATGACCTGAGGACATGACATGACACGTGCCTTCATAGCGACGTTGTGCGGCGTATAGTCCGCGAAAAGCGCTACTTTAGACGGTAGTTGGAAGCTCCCATCATCCGTCTGCACGACCTGGCCTCCAAACTGGTTGCCCGAGATCCTCTGGACACGCAGTGTGATGCCATCCCTCTTGATGGTGACCGCCGGGGCTCCTGGCCTCGTGGCGCTGATGATGGCGTTGAACAGACCGTCCAGGACCTGGCGGCCTTCCTGGACAAATCTTCGTCTCTGTAAGGAACCAACAGGACATCACAATCAGTTACTCTCACTCAGATGATTCAGTTCTTTTTCAATAACATGAGATGTTACAAAACATGTATATATATATATATACACAAAATTCATTGTAGCTAATGACATTCTATTTGAGAAAATATTTGCTTGGTTAGATCAACCATGAAAAATAAGGACTTTTTTAAATTCAACCTTCTCCCTGCTCCCTAAGCAATACAGATTTGGTGCCAAATGGCTACTTCAGTCTACTATGACCAACCATGAAAAATCAAGACTCTCCCTGCTGCCTAACCCTGTAAGCTATACTAGAAAGGCCGACATTTGCTCGGGAGCAAATTCAGCATATTTCAGTCCATCTCCCTCCCATGCAAAAGTGGACTATTCCAAACTTACCCCAGTGCAAAACTGGAATATTCTCAAATAAATGAATCATATAGCAGCTATGTAATTGAGAACAAAGATGCAAGAACAAGCACATTGAATCTCGACAGCTTTACTTACAAAATTTCACATCACTCTTATCTCACAATCTTATTGCAGGTATGCAAATACTAACAATGATGAGATTTGATACATTTTGAAGGTCTAATTGCAAAGAAAAGGAAATTGTACATGACTAAATAGCTATATGGTAGAGTAAAATAAAGCATTAAAGAAATCATTTTCATCAGGGACTTTTTGTTACCCTAGCTTGGTTCTCCTGCTTCTTTTGTTCCACCTTTTGAAGGCGCTCCTTTGGAGAGAGACTTTGGTCCTCCTCAAAATCAGAAGTGAGCTTCACATCAGCCTCTTCATCTCTCTCTGGGTCCTCAAGCAGAGAACCAACAGACTCCACCAGAGCTGCAGTAGAACAGAAACAATGTTTCTCCTGGACAAACAGGCACACAAAAAACAAACTTGAGAGTACATTACATGAGGCACAGTATGACTGGTGAACATGACATAATGTACTTACATCCTCCCACAGACTGGACAGTCGACGGGTCAGACATGTCCAGCTGGTCCAGTTTGCTGGTGATGGACTTCAGAACAACCATGGCCATGTCCTATAGGACAGCATAAATTTGTTGTTTTAAAATTAGGCTTCTAAGTCTTAAAGCAACACTTTTGTTGCTAGACTAGCATCTAGATATGCAAACATGTTGGGCAGTTTTCCACTTAGAATGCATTTCTAGTGAAGACGTTATGTAAGAAAAGTCTTTGAAATGGATTTACGTAAAAAATAAAATGTTTTTGTTCGGCTCATTTAAGTTTCAGAGAAAGATTAATAGCCATTGGCATGGTATCAAACAATTCCTTGCTGCAGATATAAACATAGAAAAAGGATGCCCACACAATAAAGTATAGGCTCAAGCCATGCATAACAAAAGGCAGAATCATATAGAATTAGAGAAAGAATATAATAGTTTTCTGCACAGTTGCAAGTGTAACTCCATGAGTAGTCAAGATTGTAGATGTAGGTGAGGAGTCAAACGGTTCAGCTTTGTAAAACTCCCATCATAGACGTGTACCTTATCCTCCTGTGGAATGCCAGGACAGGACTTAATGACAAGTGATGATAACTCAGACATCCTTTGCAGATGTTGCGGTGTCTGGGCCCGACCCATTTCAGAGGCCAAAGTTTTAATTGCCTTCCTGCACATCTACAACAACGGATTATAAAAACAAGATTGAAAACCTTTGTTCCTTAATCTGGTCCAAACAGCTTTCCTAAATGTTTCCCAAAGTTTAACATCTACAGACTACCAAACATGGCTTACCTGCGCCTTTTCCTCAGCAGCTGATGCCGGCTGCCCCAACACAACATCATCTCCAGAGACATCTGCAGACTTCTCATTACAGAACGACAAAGTTACAGAAAAGGTTGGTAGTTAGCGACTAGGTTCATGTAAATTTAACATTCTACACAGTAACTGTGATAATACAAACACACCACCATATGTTCATGGCAATTTCTCATGATACCAATTTAGCAAAGGAGCAACCCATACTTTTCTACCAGTTTCTGTCCATGTTATAGAACCTTATAGTTTGCTACTATGTGTTTGTATTGACTCTTTATAGTGCTGCTAATGATAGAATATCAAACAGAAATGTCAATTGGCATAAAACATACATGTATGGTCAGTGTGCACAAATACATCTGACCGCCGTGAGCCCCCTTGAGTGGTTTAACCCCGGCACCATCATACTCCACATTACTAGGGAGAACCCTGTGACATAATGTTGTTGTGAGAATAGCTGACAGAAAGTTTTTAGTGAGACTAAACCTGAGCCAGAATCTGGAGCACATCCTGTGGGCTTGAGCTGACGGATTCTGCAGAGATGCTCTCCAGACTGTTACCAAGAGCCTGTTGAATAAATGGGAATAAAGGGAGCACTGTCTGATATTACATAGAACGTGTTAATACACTATTGGACAGACATTAAGGGCAGGACAGTCTGAATATTACATAATACATGAATGTGCCATACTATTGGACAGGAATTATTTCAGAAGAGTCAGAATATTACATACATGTAATTTGCATTTTATACTATTGGACAGGAATTAAGGGCAGTACAAATTAAATAACTTATTTAATTAACAAGACTTGTGTGTTTTGTAAGTTTTGTTGTCTTTCAAATAATAGTCTTACATCATGGGATGGATCCTTGTCTATTTCTAAAGCCATGTGTCATAAAAATCCATTTTGGCCACTCAATAGTTGCTAGATCTAGTAGAAAGGGTCCCCTAAAATCTCATCATCTGTAGAACTGCACAGTTTACCTGATCAGCTGATGTTGCCCTGTTGCCGCCCGGCGGCCTGATGATGGTCTCTGTGGTTCCTGCACAACAGAAAATATAATCATTCAATCACTAATTATAACCGCAGCTTACCTTTGCAATGACATCAAAGCACAGCGTTATTTTACTTGATCTGACATTGAAGGACATGATACAATGATCACATGATCACTGAAAAAGAAGACAGTTATGGGACTATGTGCACATTTACACCTGTCCAGTCTAAAACATATACTTTTATCACACTAGATAAGATGTTGGTATGTTGACTATGTCATATGTTGTACAACCTTGTAAAAAGTGACCAGGTTGCTCCATGAATTTGCTCAAAGGCAAACAGACATACCATCGGTATCCGATCCGAGTTGTGCAGTTGGAGTTGATGGTCTGGTGGACATGGATGTGGGCATCCCACTTGTCTGCTTAGTTGTTTCAGCAGCTGATGGTGTGGTGGCTGTAGATAAAAACAATATTTATTTATTGCAATTAGCATCAAAATACCAATAATAATATATATCTAAAGTGATGATTTTCTAAAGTTTTGAGGTATATTGTAACGATACTAACACCAGAGCTTATATCATGTTATTGAGCAAAGCATAATTATCATGATCATGCTTTAGTACTGACTGAATTGTTGATATAGCAACATCATAGACTCTAAAAGTGCCCACCACATTTAATTAATGATGGTCTCTCCAGCGTCTCAATGCTGGGCACCTACCGTCATCAGATGATTCCTCGTCCCACCCAGCTTCAGATGCTTGTTCTATGGTCGAAGTCGCAGGTTTGGTGGAAAGGCGGGTGGTCATCCGACTTGTCTTCTGGGTTGTAGCAGCAGGAATTGTGGTTGCTGGAATTGTGGTTAGTGTGGCGATTAAGAGATTCACTGCATTTATCAAAATCTTTTGTGAGAAGAACAGTAACGTTACTGGTAAAAACAAGAGACTGTACATGCACTCTGATACAAATCTAATTTTAAGGTTTTAGCATGTATCTTGACTTAATCCAATATTTCCTTTTTGGAAGACAAAATAATATGGGATAAGCATGTGGAGTAAACATAGTACATTAAATCGAGTATTTTTCCCATAGGTTTTAAATACAACCAGGATGAACCCTTTGATTAGTTACATAGTTATGGTTGACAGTTCCTCATGTAAAAGAGTGCACGCATTAAAAAAAAAACTAACTTTGCTTACAAATGTTTAATCATCATAACCAGCAATGCACAACCTGGCAATGTTCTGGTATCAATAAAGAGTCAAAATAAGTTCTATCTTTGGATATATCAACAGTCAACAGCAGCTAGACTCTCCCTACCTGTGGTTGCCGGTATCATTGCCGCCTCACTCTGTGACCTCCAACCACCTGAAGAGAACAGGGCAGTCACCCTGATGATGTAAGTAGTCTCTGGTAACAGGCCGACCACCGGAAACCACGCCTCGTCAGTGCTCTGATTGACAGCTGTCGTCATGTCCAGGTTGGAGACCACCACACGGTACCCCTGAAGGTCAGGGTCAGGTGATGGAGACCAGGTGACCTTGAACCCTTCGTCCGTGATGTCAGTTACGGCCAGGTCCATTGGTGGATCCACAGCTGCAAGAAAAAGGATCAAAGCAGGAGTTAAAAATGCTCACTTTTAAGATAGATGTAAATAGAGCAACAAACATGTGATTATAACCTCATTATAACTTCATTGATCAGATATGTTTGAATTACAGGCATTTCTAAACAATGCTGAAACATGTAAACGCAGGTCACAAAATTATGCCACTTCATATGCCACATCAAAAAAATGAAACAGAATTTAGGGATAAAGATTAATACATAATTTGCGAAAGAGAACAGTCAACTGTTATTGGTGCATACGATACCTTTATTACAAAGCTGTGTTTTCCATCCATCCCGGCAGCCAGCCGAGCAGACACCCGATACTGGGTCACAGTTCACGTCCCCGCCCAGGCAGTGGCCGCACACTGTGAAATAAAGAACTCAGTATTAAACCAACAAGAGTTAACGTCATGTTCCTTTTACTAGACTTTCATTTTACATGTTGCATCAAAATTCTAATTACACCCGCATTTCAAAACATTCCCAGGTAAAGCTGGTATTAGAATTGGGCTAATTACAGAGAAAAGTGTAGTTAGTTAGAAATGCATGATATTACGTCAAAGTCACTTGAAAGAATATGCTGCTAATAAATAATTTTCAACCATAAATATTAACCCAGAACTGATGTGAAGAAGACCTGTACATGACATTGTGTTTAGGTTAAAGTCAAACAAGAAGGGCTTTGCGTATTTACACTGTGTAAATATACGCCTGTGTGGCAAACACACATAAAACGGCACTTTTTGTACCTCGACAGCCGTGGGCGTCTTCCATAAGCACGAAGCCTTGTCGGCAGAAGCACCTGTAGCCTCGGGGGATTTTGGTGCAGATATGGTCACACCGGCCGTTCTCTGTCGCACATTCGTCAGCTGCAAAGACGATAATACAAACTTTAAGGCAACTTCAGGATCTGAAACACCTTCAAGTGTTACCTAACTTTTACCTGTACAACTCAGAATTGAGGAAGTATGGATCATTCTAAAGCTACATTCAAAAACCATTACCATTACTTCTTTTATACTTTGTAGTTGGTAACAGTCAATGCAACAAATAGCAATCCACATGGACCAGTGCAGGTTAGGTGCAGGTAGACATCAGAAATACCTGCACAGCTCCAATTTCACCTGCACTGAGAGTGTTTAATATTCTTTTATCTATATACTTATATAATCAATCATGATCACCTATCAATCATGATACAATTAAACAATACCTTTACAACCATGGGCATCTGCCATCAACACGAAGCCCTGTTGACAGGAACAGGTGTAACTTCCCGGGACTTTGGTGCAGGTTTGGGCACATCCACCGTTGTCTGTTGCACACTCATCTTCTGCAGGAATTAAAAAATGAGAAATGTTATTGGCTGAAAATCCTCAAATTAACACAGTCAAGTGCATAATGGTTGCCTTCAGTGGTTAAAGATAATAATAACATTAGTTTATATACTTTGGTTATGGCTGTTCTAATTTCTAAAAAGAATTTAAGGTCTAATTTCAGCTTCCAATTTTTGGTTTATTATACATGAACTTTTAATGGCTTTCTTCTGATATCTCTTTTACATGATATCATAATCCATAATAGTTACAACTACTGATTCTACCAGCACAGACGAGCTTTCATTCAAACACAGCATGCTGTGGCAAAGGTTCCATAACATGGGCATAAACTTGAACAAATATCGGTTGCACCTTTGATTGTATTATGAGAAATGTTTTTTGCATTACGTATTCATAATTCTGCATTTTGGTTTCAGGGTATCAGGTATTCAAAGTTGTTTGCTAAGCAGCCCTACTACCCGGGATACCATATACATACATACAGATGTGGAAGGAAAATGACAATGACAAGTTCCCTACCTTCACAGCCATGACCATCCTCCATTAGCTCAAAGCCCGGTCGACAGGAACATGTGTAACCTCCCCCTGATAGTTTGTTCCGAATCTGGGCACAGCCGCTGTTATCTGGTCAAGGTAATGAACATAGACAACAGGAATGTAATATTTTATACTAAGTCTAGACGTATATACGTGTTTGACCAGCTAAACACATTTGGCTCCCACCACGATGGGTAACAGAGATACTGGTATTAAATTCGGTTATTTAGAAAAAGCAATGTCTGAGAAGGCTCCGTGGAGAGAATTTTTTGGTTCTGGTTGATAAAAAAAGGCTGGTTCACAGGACTGTAAATAAAAGATAATGTGATTAAAAAATGCGCAGAAGACCTCTGAAAGCCATTGATGTACTTTGGAAATTCATTGTTGCCTTGAAGCGAGAGCAAGACAGAGAAGTCATCAATGATTTTAATACGAGATGTGTATGCATCGTAATTATGGCAAGTCAAGAATAGGCCTGACTGGCCAGTGTTGTGGCAAAGGTTCCTGCACTAGTTTGTCGGAAAAACCTTTTCAGCAGTTAACCCATGGTTTTGACAAAACCCAGCTTTGACAAAATCATGCAGCTAAATAATATATATATATATATATATATAATAACATAAAATAACAATTTATTTATCTATTTATTTACAAACCTCAACAACCTATCACATTAAAACATTAAATTTTGGTCAATCCAGAAACATTTAGTGCAGCTTTTGTGTGATTTTTGAATGGTTGTTAATTTCTGATGTGATATTTTATACTTAGACAATAGTGCCAAATACTTTTTGGCTGGAATTTTTTATTCGCCCGCGCGCACTAGTTTGGGGGTCTTCAGAGGATGTCATCCATTAAATT